GGAAACTGCAAGCCTAATTCCTTCTCAATCACCTTTCCACGCAGAGGCCCAGCATTCAGGTGGGGCCACCCCATGTGACCCTGTTGGGGCGTTTCTGGCCAAAATCGTATTGAAGATGGGGCCATGTCCTGGGTATACACACACCCTGTGAGCTGCTGACGTCACAGCAGTGGCACTGGCCACGAGAAGTTAGGTGTTACCAGATTTACGCAGAAGGGGAAACAGTGACTGTGGAGTAGCTTTCAGTTCAAACATGAGTGCTTGGCAAGTGTGGTAAGAGGAGGAAGAGGAGGAGGAAGGCGAGGAGGAGGAGGAGGAGGGAGGCTGGGAACACCTGTGTGGGCCTGATGGGCATCAATAAATCCAGCCCAGGGGCTAGAAAGGCTGCGATTCCTTCATGATCTCACTTTTCCCGGCAAGGGTTATTTTTGCTTTTTATTCATATACAACATAAGTCATTAGCGTTATCAATAGACTTTTCAAGCAAGATGGAAATCGGAAGTCTGCATAAGGCAGCATACACTGATGAGAAGCCCCGGCTTGGCCTGTCTCCTATGGGTCACCTGTCACAGAGCAGATGACTGAGCCACACCAGGCCTCTCAGGCTATGGGTCTAACAGGATATGGGTGTTGGCTGTCTAAAGAGATCTGAGAAGTTTCCCCCAGGCTGCTGCGGGGAGCCCTGGGCTGCTCTTTCTTCAGCTTGCTATTCCCTCCTTCCTTCTCTGGGATAGAAATCAGAAGAGAGGAGACTGCAGCCCCGTGTGTGCTAGTGTTGTGTCGGGAAATGTCTAACTGTCCATGTTCTGAGGGGAATATCCAGTTGGCGACGTTTGCCAATTTCTGTGGCGTAAATATTCCTGCTGTGGCTGATCTTCAGTTTCCCATGTGCTGTGAGGAAGGGAAGCGCTGAGTGGGTCTGAGGAGCTCCAGGCTCCACAGGATGACAGACTCGGTGCTGAATCTTTCTCCTGCAGACGGTTGTCTGGTGGCACGGTTACCTGCAGACACCTTCATTTGTTGTTTAAAGGAAAAGAGGCCCTCATCTCACCTGGGAGCCACTATGTAGGCCTAAATCAGAAGTCAAAAGTACCCTGATTCATTTGGTGCCCCAGAGAGCACAGGTACTGTACAGAGGAGGACAGGGGTTGTCAGACAGATTATGTGACTCACCGAGGGTCCCACAGATGGCTTGGAGATGGAATCAACTTTCAGAACTTGGTTATTTTTGGTCCCAACCCTATTTCCTCCACTGTATTCATCTCAGCAGAATGGCACTTCACTTCTAAGAACACATATGGTAAGAGCTAGGGTCCTCAGGACCCCGAAGAAGAAAGCCTTCCCCAGCCCAGCCGGTGTCCATGGACACCCTCACTCTGCATGTTGGGAACACTCCTCCCTGGTCAGGGGCCTGCTCTGCACCCCTGCCCTGAGTCCTGAGATGCCAGCCTCATACTATAAAATCCTTAGTGGGTGACTGCAGTACTGTGATAAAGAACGAGTCCATTTCTTACCTAGCTTTCCCCAAACACTACATCTTCAGAGCCCACGGTGGTCTACTAGCTTCTCCCATGGGTGCCAGTTTGCACCTCCCTGAAGGGTGGGTGGACCCGATGGGGGGCTGTCTGTGCTCATCAAGGATGGTGCCACAGTCCAGGGCCACAGGGGAGGAGTGGGGGCTGACAGGCACTGGGGAATCTTGAGTCTACACTGCCCTTGGCCCCCACAGCTCCTCATGGTGTTCCTCATTTCCCACTGGCTTTGTGCAAAACTGGGGAAGCTGATCCCATTGCACAACTTGTCCTTGGGGGCAGGATTTGAATACAGGCTGTTTTGCTCCAGAACTGGCTTACTCTCCCCATGTCCTCAGGCATAGAAAGGTGGGGGTTACAGAAAGCCAAAAGTTTCCTCTGTGCCCTTGCTTGGTGAGCTGGAGGGTTATGCCAGTGGCAGGCATTCAGTAGCTGGACAGTCAGGTAAGAGAAAGCAAGCCAGGCCCTCAGGGTGCTTGGAGTGTGAGCTCAGAGGACACAGTTCAAGCTGATTGTTCACTGACTTGGGAGGTGTGGGGTGATGATAACCCAGGTGTAAAGTGGGGAGAGGCTTTCCTCTCCCAGGGTAAATGTGAAGGTTCATTTACAGATTCCCAGCTGCTCTGCTTCTCCTATTCTCTCTCCCTGGCTCTCCTTCTCCTCCAGGGTACTTGCCATGATGGCCTTTGTGTGTTTGCCACCCTTCCTACAGGATAACTTTCTGAGCACAGGTTCCACACTGAGTGCTCAGCAAAAAGCTGTGGCCTCAAAGAGCCTGGTACATAATAGGTGCTCAGTTAACTGGCAGACTGACCAAAGACATTGTACAGAAAGCTGCTGGCCTGGTTTCAAGGCAACTTGACTCACTCAAGGTGGTTAATGTGACTCCAAAGTCAATCCCAGGACTCACTTTCCCCAGAGGCTCTTCAGGTATCCCTAACTTCAGTCACTCCTCAGCTCCACCCACAGCAAGCCTTCCAGCTGCAGTGCCAAGCTGCCTTGTATGATGTCCAGGGAAATGGAACTTTGCAAGGCTGTTTGACAACAAATGTAAGCCACTGAGCCCATGACATCTCTGTTTCTGGCTAGAACTGAAATTACTATAACCGAGTGTGTTCCCCTCCTCCTTAGTGGGGCCCAGAGGGGAGGAAGTGGTTTGGACATGATGTACGCAATTCCTTCGGAACCTTGGGGAGGTGGAGAGAGAGAGAGGAAGTCAGTCATATGGTGTGGCCTGAATGCATACTTATTGTGGAAATGGATGGAGAGTGGATGGGTGGGTAGGTGGATGGATAGATGGATGGGTGAGTGGATGGATGGATGGATGGATGGATGGATGGATAGGTCGATGGGTGGATGGATAGATGGATAGGTGAGTAGATGGATAGATGGTGAATGGATGGATGGGAGGACTGGCAGATACATAGATAAAAGTACTAACTTCCTCAGGTTGCTAATTAGAACCAGTGGTTTGGTCTGACATACTGGAAATCTTTAATGAGAATTTAAAATTCTATAATCTCTTAGAGCTGGGAAATAAATTTTTGCTGAATGTGCAATGAAAAATTAAAACCCAGAAGCATCTATTAATGCAGAGCACTGACAGGGGGTGTGCTGGAATGAATAATTTCTGTCCTTGATAAAGGCATGATCTCCTGGGGGCATGTTGCCACTCCCGCTGGTCGGAGTGAGGGGTGTTTCTACATTAGGAAAATGGTTTCTGTTTTCTGCAATACAAACCCACCCATGTCTGTTTCATTTTTATCAGTTAGAGGAACAGGCAGAAATATGTCTTGGGAAAATGGAGAAGGAGTCCACAGCTCATTGGTTTTGCAGTCTGTTCTACCCACTAACAGTTTTCAGCCTGGGAACACCAGGCACTCGGTGTATTTTAATTGTCTAGTTCAGAAGTGGTATCAATAGCCATTATTTAGTACTTAGCATCACCTACATATCCCATGTAATTTAAACATGTTACAAACACATGAGGAAGCTGGGCTTCTTTTTATGAGGAAGAAGCTGACATCTAGAGAGGTGGAGTGACTTGCCCAGGGTCACATGGGCCTTGATGCCTGTCCCTGGGTGCTGTCCCAGCTGTAGGTGACTGAAGCACTGTTTTCTCACCATGCTTCTTGCTGCCTGCTTGAGCTGTGGACACTGCAGGAGTGTGAGTGCACTGCAGTCTATCTGTCCCACAGGTTATTTTGCTGTGCTTTCCTTCCAAAGAGCCTTCCTCTGGAGAGTGTCTTTTGTAATGGAATTTCTGGAAGTCTCACCTGAGGTCCCCCAGCCCCAGCCCCATGTTAAAAGGACCGCATTCCAGATGCGTAGACTGGCGACGCAGCACCTCATGGCAAACTTTCTAATGACAGTTTGCAGACTGCAGGATGCATTTCTTCTGAAGAGCACTGCTGTGGATACAGGACTCTGTCCCTAGCCCTCATCACGCTTGCCGAGGCTCCACTTTCCCCCACCTCAGCCCCAGAGCACCTCACTGCTTCCACCTCCCAGCAGCTGGGTGACTTGGGCAAGTCACTTAACCTCTCTGAGTGCTATTCTTCCCTTGCCGAAAGCAAACAACAACTGCAGTCCTACAGTATTGCTGCTTCAAACCATGCCCCCTGCCCATCCCTTGGGGACACCATCACAGTCCCCTCAGGCCATCCTGAGGCCAAAGCTCAGGTCTTTCTCTGTCCAGGCTCCCTCCACATGTGGGCACCTAAGAGAATATGCAGCATGCCACATTCCTCAGGAAAATCTTCCAATCAAACATTCGATGATCTCAGAATGTGCAGGCATCGCATGTTGGCCTTTCCTGGACCAACCCCTCGTACACAGGCCACCTTAGATTGTTGTCAGTTAAATTTGCCACCTTCCCCCAAGAAGCTCCACGCCATGACACTCCATGCACACTATTGCAGTCACTCCATCGCTCTGGGATCGTTGTGCCTTTAGATCTTACAACAACTCTAGGCTGCTAGCACTTGCTGAGCACCTACTGTGGTGAAGAAGCTGTCCTGGCAATTGGTACATTTTAATTCATTTAACCTGGCCAGTATCTGTGTGAATAGGTACCATTACTGCCATTTTAAGGACAAGAAAATAAAAGCCTGGCATGGTTTAAATGACCTGCTCAGGGCCAGACACAGGTAGGAAGGCCAGTGGCAAGTCCCAGCTGTCACTTGCAGAGGCTGTGGTGTGCCGGGCTGCTCTGGAGGGAGACTCTGTCCCCTGGTACAGTGTGTCTCGCCCACCCCTGCCCCTGCCTCCAGCTTGTCTTTCCTTAGACTTAAGCCTGCAGTGCCCACTGAGCAGCTGTGGGCTGCTGGGCACAGCATAAGGCGGGCTTTGCCCAAGATGCAGCCCTGCTTGTTCTTGGAAGTTCTTCCCTCTCTCCCCAAAGTAGTTCTCTACCATATGTGCATCACCAGGGCCCTGAAGTCTCTCCCCGCCCTGAACCCAAGATACCTTCAAACACTGGGCATGGCTTCCCTGGGGAGCCAGCTGCAGAGCGGCCTCCAGGCCCGGGTCACCTCCTCTCCATCAGCTGCTGCTGCTCCTGAAGCAGGCGGCCGGAGCGTGGGCGGGCATGGAGGAGAAGCCCATGCTATTGAGAAGTCCCGCAGTTGCTAACACATACTTCCTCTGCTAGAAAGGAGGAAGGCGCTGCTGGCAGAGGGCCGGTTCCTGTTTTCACCAGCGCTCTGAACAGACTTCTCTCTGCAAGGACAGTGAAGAGAGAGGCGTTATTAATTTTTTTTACAAAACACTTGAGAGGATAGGCAGCTTGGTTCTAAATGGCCAGGGCTTTCAGAAACTTGGTCTTTTTTTTTCTCTCTAATTAAAAGGCAGAGAGGGCTGAGAATTTGCTTGTACACATCCCAGGAGCTCACGGGCCCATGGAGCCTATGGCTCAGCTGGCTGCAGCTTCTCTTCTGTGAGTTTCTCAGTTTCTACAGTTTTTTTGCATCATTGCCAAAGAGACCCCAGAGCTGAGCTGCCGAGGCCCAACTCTGATTCCACAGAAACTAGTTTCCAGTCACCAGAGATGTGGAGCAGTGAGCAACAAGGCCCTGTGCACACAGGGCTGCCAGTTAGGCCCCTTCCTGGGGGCCTCCCCTTGTGTGTCACTAGCGGAAGAAGCCAGCAAGTTTATGGGAAAGAGCCAGTTCTCCCAGGTCAGGACTAGAGAGACAGGCACTCGGGAGGGAGGCCTGACCAGACCCGGAGTGAAGGGAGGGAACGCAAGGAACTCCACGGGGGTGCAGGCAGCTGGGAAGCTTTCGGCCTGGTAGGTAATGCCGTGTGGAAGTTCATTCCCTGGGCTGTGATGGTGATACTGTGGCCATGTGGGAGGAGGCTCTGGGTCTTAGGGAGCGTGTTCTGACCTATTGGAGGCCAGTGTCACAATGGCTACAGCTCTCAAATGTCTCCTGCACACACACACACACACACACACACAATCACGGTGTAGAAGGACAATGAGAGGACACGAAAGCAAGCGTGGCCCACTTAATATCCTGAATCCATGTGAAGGGTACAGAAGTGTGCATTGTTCTCTTTCAATTTATGACGGATTTGAGATTAGAATCTACAATTGTGTATCACATAATATAATATGTGTATCACACGCATCTGTAGAATTCCGGTATTCACAGGTTATGAGTCTCAAGCAGGGAGACCTGAGAAGGTGGGGCTCTGGGCAGGTTGATAGAAGAGGCAGAGGTGTCAGAGGCATCAGCTCCAGGACAGCCTGGAATTAAATCCGTGGAGCCAGGAAGGCTGGGTCTCCACGATGAGTGGCCTCTGCCGGCCCCTCCCAGGCCTCCCCTTTCACAGAGTGGACAGGGCATCAGAGTCCAGCACCTCACTTGTGGTCACAGCACTGAGCCAGGGCAGAGTCTAGGGCCTGTAACCCATGGCTTCACCCAGTGACAGCCACGCTGGGACAGTCATTTGGAAACCTCAACCTGGTGGCATTTGTAAAGATGAATTAAAAGCACCAGAGCCACATCTATATTTAGAAGGCACTGTGTACTAGATAGATGCTCCCGCAGCTGGCTTGTAAAAACAACCCGTCTGTGCAGAGCATGCTGGGAAGGCACAGAGGAAATGTTGCAAGGGCCTGAGGGGGCACCTTGCCCCAGCAGGGAAGAGAAGACACCAAGGTCTGCGGAAGTGCAGCTTCCCCAGCTCACACCAAGACGAGAGAGAGCACTGGGTTTAGTTGGTGATTGCTGGGTGACGACTTTTGATAATCATTTCCCGAGGATCTACTGCAGGCTGGACCTTGAAAGCATTCCCTCTCCCATTATCCCTTCTATAAAACTCTGCTAGGCACAGCACACCTCAGACTCAGGATCCAGCCCTGAGTAGGCTGGCCAAGCCCAGCCTCCCTGCATTTCCCTCCTCTGGTGGGAGGAGCGTTCCTGTGTTAGAGGCAGGCAGGGCCACAGCTGGTGTCCGCTGCTGTGAGAGGATGCAGCGGAGCCTTAGCACAAAGGGTGCTCCCCGAGGCAGGCGGTGTCAGGGATGTGTGCCTCAGGGAAAGGTTTCAGGACCGGGGGCCTGTGGGAGGATAAGCAGCCAGCTGACGACAAGCCAGGGAGTGAGACGTGCACGCGAAAGGAACCAGCGGTGTGACCTGAAGTCTGGGGGAGACACAGTCGGGGTTTGAGGGAGCTCCAACTCTGGTGGCAGAGGTGACACATGACCACACGCAGGGCCCATGGGGTGGTTGGGCACGAGAGCCGTGAGAAGCCTGGGCATGCAGCGCTAGAGCCTGTAGGATGGCAGAGTCCTGAGAAGGAAGACTATTTCATTTTGTCAGGCAAGCCTCTCTCTGATCATACCTCTGCAGCCCAATTTCCATACTGCACATGCTTTTCTCTCCTGGTCCGTGGAAGGGATCTTTGAGTCAGAACTGCTGTCTTTTATTTAGATATGCACTTTATTATCCATTCATTCATTCAACAAACTTTGTGAGCATTTGCTGTGTGCCAGGCACAGTACATGCACCACAATTCCTACCAAGAGATTAGGAGCTACCCTCTTAGAGCCGCTTAGAGCCCAGGCCGGGCATAAAACAGTACATCGCGTATTGCTGTATTTCCAGGTGTCACACAGACCTACTGCAAATTTCTTAGGTATACATAAAACCTGCCACGGCAGATAAACAGGGAAGAATACTCAGAGACAGTCCAGACTGGCTCTAACCCTCCCTGCCTTCGAGGATTTATAATTTAGAGAAGGAAACAGATTCAGATCAGAACCTGGGAGTAGGACTTTGGAGAGCTGGGGAAGGCAGGAACCTGGCACTGCAGCCCAGCAGAACCGAGTCAGGTGCCACCTCAGAGGCACGGTCATCATTCAAGGTCATGGAGGCACTCAGGCACCATAGCCAGCAAAGACAAAAATGCTCCAGGTGATGCCCACGTGAGAGTGGAGACAGCCAGGCTGTGCCTCCCTGGCAGGTGACGGCCGTGGATCAGGTTATGCTTTAGGGCTTGATGACACGCAGGACCATCTGTGTAGAAAGTATCTGATTGCCAGAGGGCTTCACAAATTAATTAGCTCTTAGGGCCCAGACAAAAGGCCACAGGGAGATTCCAAGATGCCAGCCATGCATGGGCTAAAGATGTCACCTTTGTTAAGATGCCCTGATCCCCTGCGTGAGCCTGGTTTCGCACAAGTTGTCAGGATCAGGCATCCTGTTCCCTGCTGGAGTTGGCAGCCTCCTGACCTGAAGAAGTTCATTTTTCCAGCCCCAGGTCTCAGAGAGTCTCTGGGTTCTGGGAGGGTCAGTGCTTCTAAGGTGATTTGGCATCACATGGTGGGGGCAGGGAGAAGTGCTGGTTAAAGCCCTTCATTGGTCAGAATTCACAGCTGGAGCCAGTGTTGGTTAGAGGTCCTGGGTCTACTGGAGAGTTTTCCTTCTACCCCTCTGCACACTTTCAATATAAATGTTGGGAAGAGAGACAGCCAGAGGACAGAGGCAGCCTGGAGAGCTAACTTGCTTCTTCTCCATGGAGAAAAATCAAGTATAGATTAGTGGGTGCCAGACACTGTGGTTGGTCCTAGACGCTGTTGGTGGGATTCTGGGCTCTAAAGAGTTAAACTACGGGACCTCAAGACTCCTCCCAAGCTTGCATCCTCTGAGGAAGAAGCTGCAGCCTGTGTTATGGCCCAGTGAGTGCAGACTCAGTGGTTCAGCCTTCCATTCAAGGCATATTTGCTAAGCACTTTTCTTTGTGAATCAGAACAATGGGGTGTTAAAGTCAGAGAGAGTGGCTGAGAGAGAGGACGGTAAGGTAAGGGGAGCTCTCCCCTCTGAAGAGTGACATTTGATGAGAGCTCAGAGAGCCCATAAGGTGAGTGGGAAGGGGAAGAGCCATCTGCTGAATGGAACTGCTCAGTTGGTGCCAAAAATGTAGGCCTAGAAATGCCTATTCTGCTCAGGAGCAGCGAGAAGGGCTGGGGACAGTACCAGGGACGGCCATCGCTGCTGTCACTCCCTCACAGCACTCTCTGCCCAGACTTCATCTGGAGAAGCTGAGGCCCCTTAACTCCCTTGCCCTGGCCACTAGCTGACTCTGTGACACCACCTGGCCTAGGCATGTGGGCCCTGCAGGTGGTGAGCTGGCTGTCACTATCAGAAGAGCCTCCCAGCAGGTCTTCTTCCATCCCACCCCTGCCATTACAATCCCACTTATCTTTCACTAGCCCTGCATCCCTAAAGATGACTCAGCACTGTTGCCATCCTCCTCAAACGCCTGCCCCACCAGCCTTGTGCCTTCCCCTGGCACTCAGTGCTCAGCTGTCTCTCCCGCTGCCTCCTTCCCAGCTTCCATGACAGTAGCACTGCTGGAGAGCTCCCTGTTCCCGGTCCTGGGACACCTGGCCCTCCCTGCTTCCTCCAGCTCCAGCTTCTCCAGACGAGGTGGAGCTTACCTCTCCAAGCGCATCCCTCAGGACTCCCTGAGCAGAAGTGAACACTTCCTTGAAGCTCTTTGGCCTCAGGGAGTAGAATTTATTGCAGAGTGGAATCCACGTCGAGAGAGTCCCAGGCCCTAGGGTAGGGTCCTGAGTCTCTCCCACAGCCTAAATGCTGTTGCTAGTGGTCACGAGGATCCAAGGATAACGGGTACAAACCTCCTAACGTGGTGCACAGAGCCAGTCAACAGGTCCAAAAAGCCCTCCTTTCCTTTGTAATTGGAAGGTGCGCTTGGGAAGGCCACGGAGCCCAGCAGAGAGCCCTGCCCAGAGCAGACAATGCAGGGAGAAAGACAGTGGTGCCCGCCCATTATAGGTCCTTAGGTCAGGAACATAGCAGATAGTGTGCTCACCATCCCAGTTGGAAGAGAGCAGATGCTGTTGTTCCTCAGGAAGTAAATGTCTCTGTTTCTAGGGAGCCTCTGAAGGATGTATTCTGCAGCTGGAGTGGCACTTCTGTGCGTGTCCTCAGGCTTTGTGTCTCTGTAGGAGCCCTCCCGGGCTAAGGGTAGGTTCAGGAGAAAAGCACTGTGATGTGCTCTCTGCTGTGAAGGGCCGCCTGGGTGTAGCTCCCTGGAGCTCTCCTCCTCCTCGTATTGCTCAGCCAGACCTGCTGTGGCAGCCGGAGAGACCAGGCTGTTCTCAGCTCTGTGAGGGGTGGTGAAGAAGGTGGCAGGCTTCCCAGAGGCTGGCACGTCCCTGAGCCGGGATCAGTTTTAGTACTTTGCTACTTTGTTTCTGGACGGATTGACTTGCAAACTCTTTTCTATAACAGAACCTACTCAGGGACTCATTTATTTGACTATTCCAGAGCTCCCTTAGGCTAAGCTGTGAGGGACACAAGTGACGCATGCTCTTCCCTCCAGGAGCTCAGGGTGGGGTGAACACGTGTGGGGGCTCTGGTGATCAGGGCAGGCATGAGAGTAACCAGCAATGTTGCAGCAAGCTGAGGATTCTCCAGGGGGGATTCGAGGAACCTGAAATGGGAGGAGTCCACCGAGGCTGGACATGCTGCACACTTGTGGGATGTTCTCCCGGCACCTGCTCAGTTCTGTTTTGTTGTGGGATGACTTCCGGTGCATCTTGCACGGGGTGGGAAATGACTTTGGCATCTGCCACTTCTCGGTTACCTGCTTCTTGTGAGCTCTGCACCCCTCACACCCACCCCAGCAGGCCAGGAATGAGTCAAGTCTCTGCCCTTTTCTGCTGCAGCCTTCAGTGCCCCTGCTGTCCTTGACATATGCAGGGGGCACTCACCAGCTCCTCACTGTCTCCCTGCCTCTCCAGCAACTGCCCTCTACCACCTGCTGCCGGGACATTCTCTGCTGGCCTTGCCTCTGAATTTACCCGTGGTCTGGATGTCGTTCCCTCATCTCAGAATCAGCCCAAGTCAGGGCTGAGTCCTCTCATCCTTCTTCTTTTGGGGCTGAGTCAGGTGGGGGGCTCTGTGCTCTCTTGACCCTCTGAACAAAGAAGGACCAATCAACCCACACTCCTGCCTCTGCCCAAAGACAGGGTGCTCTTCAGTTGCCTGACAGCATGAGCCCCAGACTGGCTCATACCATGCGACACTAGGATGAACCAAGGGTAGTGGAAGGTGGCATCTGTCTGCAGCCCGGCCACTGCCAGAGTGACACACAGCTGCCCAGAGGCAAGAGCATTGCTGACTACATTCATCACCGCCAGCAGAGCAGGGACCATGGGCTGAGGGTGGCCTCCTGTTCTTCCACTCCACCTTCCTGTTTTCTAGACTGGTTATCTCCCAACTTCTGCTCATGCTTCTGGACAGCAAGAAGTTTTGAATAAGCATCTCCAGTGAATTCATATTCAGTCATGGGCCACACACCTGGGTGACTCCACTATTGCATATTTTGCAAACAAGAAAGCAATTAAATGGGTAATATGTTTGAAATAACGTTTATAAGAAGAAACAGAGCTTTCCTCCTGTGCTCCAGTGGATTGTCTTGGGTACCCTTCGGGAGACCCTGGCCGACAGAAACATAAAGAAGATAGGAATTATTTCTGAAAAGGGGGAATTTTGATAAAGAACCTTCAGTCATTCCATTTTTTTCTTTTCTTGGTCTCAGTACATGGTCCATCTTTTGAGGACAGCACAGAGATCCTTTCCACCTCTGTTTAAAAACAAACCCAAGGGCCAGAGGTTCCCATGAGAAAGGAGGTAGCCAGTGAGCGCTTTGGGGCCCTAGGGAGGGCGTTTTTCCAGAGTGTCTCCTAGTTCACCTTCCCAATCTTTCTGCTGGGCTGACTTTCAGAAGCCCTGAGCACTGGGAAGCGGGGACATCTCTGCTCGTCACTGTGACACTGAGCACTAGTGCGGCGCCACAGAGGCCGAATGGGAGGGAGAGACTGAAGGAGCAGGCTAGGAAAACACTCCCCACCACCATATCTCAGAGATCCTTGGGACCTGGATTGTCCTGCACTCCTGGGGTGTTGGCACAGAGGAATTTCTCAGAGAGCGCACGGAGTTATCCCCAGAGGAGCAGCAGCAGGGCAAGCCGGTTCTGGGGACAGTGGACAGCTGGCCAGAGCACTGGCAATAAGACCCTGCCATGAGCTGCCCAACATGGCCCTCCTGAGGCCTCTTCCCACTCTGGCCCAGCGTTTCCATCTCATAAACAGTAATTCCAACGTGCTGCCCCAGCCACCTCTCAATACACTTGAACCACACAGAAGGAGGGGGAGATTTAAATCGCTGTCATCGGGCTAAGTCGGGTGTGAAATGAACCACAGCTAATGGTACCCAGCAGGGGCAGCCCTGGAGGAAGCCGAAACAGGCAGGCTCTGTTGCTTAGAAACAGCTTTGGCAACTCACAAGCTCCTGCTTCACCTACTTCACCTGTTTTACTGCTTTTCATTTTAGCTTGAGTAGCAATAAGGTCATAAATAACTGGCATCTGCCGAGTGCTTTATGGGTTATAAAGTATTTCCAAGTCTGTTATTTCATTTAACTTTCCGCAGAATCTTTTAACTATTGCTATATTCCTATTTATTGGAAACTTGGCACCCATAAGCACTGTATGTGTTATCTCCTGAATCTGTCTCAGCAAATGAAGGGTAAACATTCTTATCCTTACTTTACATTTGATGAAATAATACATGAGGCCCGTAAGTAGCTTTCCTAAGAATATGCAGCCGGTTGGGGAGGGTGTTGGATCTTAAACTGGGCTGGTAGATGTGACTACACACCCACTATACAGATAGCTAGACCAAGACCCAGAGAAAAAAGCCATTGTCAAGTTGTCTATGCAGGATTCAACATGATTTCTCTAACCCAAATGCCCATGGTCTAATTTTCTACATCTCTTTAAAGCAGTACTAATTTATATTTGTTTTCACCTGGCGGATTGAAGGGAATGGCATTGGAAAAGATATGTGGGAGACTCTAAGGCGAGGCAGGTGCTGGGACACAGACACACACTTGAGTATGTGTCTGCTTAGCACATAAAGACCCAGCAGGCCCACAGCAAGTGACTCCCAGGGCCCCTCCACCCAGGGAAACTTTGGGTTGGCTGGAGGGATGAGCACAGCAGCCCTTAGATCTGTGCCCATCTGGGTGTAGGCTGGGCTCAGGCCTCCTGATGAGGAAGTAGGAGTTCAGGGGAAGTGCAGAGCCTGCCTCACTCTCACAGGCTGGGCTGGGGTGAGGTGGGGCGCCCCGGATTAGGGTCACAGACACCTGGCAAGCAGAGCCACGGCTTTCCTTCAGCTGGGCAACACGGCCCTCAGCAGTCCCAGGGTCCTTGTTGTCTAGAATGCTGGTCAGCACCCGACGTCCTCTTCTAGGCCAGGCTGCTGTGCAGCCATCCTCCCCATGGCTGTGGCCTGTGTAGCTTCTGCCCTCCTGACTAGCTCCAGCACCGCCAAGCTCACGCCAGCAGCTCCCTCCCCCTTTCCTTCTAACATGGGGCACAGAAGCCCCCTCTGGGTCAGGTCCTGACTCCCTGCCCACCTGCGGCCCAGCTACTTCCTCCTCCAAATGGCCCTCTGCATCAGGAAGTGCCTGCCTCCCTGCTCCGCCCAAGGAGCAGCTCCTGTGGCGCTGTCCTCAGTGGCTCCCACCAGTTCCGGTTCCCCATTCTCAAGGCCACCCCTCCCCCGCTGACGCATGCTAATTGTACACGCGGATGGAGTGCAGAGTGATGTTACAGCACACGTGTGTGTACGGGGGGTTCTGACCCAACCCAACCAAGGGATTAGCCTTTTCAGGTCCTTGCTTTTTATTTATGTTTGCAGCCGTGGCAGCTTGTCTCTTCGTGGTCTGCATAGTTCTAAGGAGAACGGTGAGGTAGATATGGTCGGCAGGTTCAGAAGGTGCCAGCGGGCAGCTGCCCACTGCAAGGCCAAGAGGAAATGGTGTTGCAGAGTCCACAGCAGTGGGGTGTGCTCACAGGCACCCCAGTGTCCCCCAGAACCCCACACACGGGGCAGATCCTGGGGTCCTGGCAACGAATCTGCGAGGTGGGAAATTTAAAGCTGGGGAAACTGAGGCTGGCTTGTGCATCCAAGACTTAAGTCTGAACCCTAATCTTACTCCTTCAGAACCTGCCTGTATTTAGAGATAAGGCCCTGAAAGAGGTAGCGAGTTAAAATGAGACCACGAGGGTGGAATTTTGCATTTTGATCAGTGACCTTAGACAAAGAGATATCAGGAGCCCCCCAGAGGCTCATGCCAAGAGGGGAGGGGAGGGAGGCGGTGCCATTGCAGCACAGCTTGAGGATGGCACCTGGCCAGCTTGTGGTCTCAGCCCTCCAGGCTCCAGGACTGGCAAACTAAATTCCTGTTATGAAGCCACCCAGTCTGTGGTAGCAGTTTTGGCCTCCCTGGAGCCCTAATACAGAGCTTCACTACTTCATGCAGAGACAGAGACAGAGGCACTGTTCACCCTGCCCAGCTGCTGCCTGTGCCCACAGTGAAGAGGTCGCCTCTTCCACAGCCCCGGGGTCTGCTCCTCACGGCACCCGCCTTTCTGGGTCCTAAGTGTGCAGTGACGTCTAAGGCTGACATATGCCCATGTGTATGTATGAAGGGCTGCCAGCAGGGGAGGGGAAGTGGAGGAGCCTGCATAGTGAGTCCCCTCCCTATCTCTCATGGTGTCACATCGAAAGCGTGACACTTGTGCCAGGAAAATCGGTAATTTCCCAGTGCCATGCATTTAAATGGCTCCTGACAGCCGGAAGATGATGGAAGCAATTAGACATCCTGTTTGTGACAGATGGAGAAAGGCATTTTGTGGCTTCTGCAAGACCTGGAGGGGAACTGAGACAGGCACGTGCTCTGTTCTAGGGGGCACGGCTAGGGCCTCCCCATTAGCCAGAGGAAGAGCGCCCTGGAGGAAGCTCCTGCGGGGCCCTCAGGCATGGGTGCGGGCCCCCTCCTGCCACTCTCCAGGTTACACTGTGTAGCTAGTGACATTTGCTGGACAAGAAGGCCAGAGGGAGGGTGAACATGGAAGTGGCTGCACCAGAAAGCTGCATAGCTCGGTGGCTTTGGGCTCAGCCCAAGTCCAGCTTGCAAGTAGCAGGTAACTTGGAGCAAGTAGCTTATCTCCCTCAGAGCCTCTGTAGTCTTTAATAAAGGGACAGTGTGGTCACGCCCTGGTTCAGTATGGTGAGCAGAAACTGGGGACCCCAGGTTCCACTGCTCGATGGTACTTCTCTCTCTCC